AAGCCAGGAAGCCATGAGTCTGGTTCAAGCTTCCATCTCTGCACCAAGTTGTGTACTGAGGTCATCTAAACTTATGCAACAAGAAGGCTTATGAGTCACAATGCTGGTGCTTCACCATCTGCCTTGTACAAAAGGCCCACCAGCTGCACACCAAAATGCCAAGAGCATTAGTCTGGTTCAAGCTTCACAAGCTTCATGGCTAAGTAGGAGGGTTGTCAGGTTTTAGAGCAATTGTGGAAGTCACAAAATGTGCTGTTCTGGTTCTTTGTTCAAGGAGACATTTAGGGTGAGCAGCCCAGGACGAGAAGATACTTTGTTTTCTGTTTGTGAGCCAGGTTAAAAGCCTGGGGTCCCTTTTCCATCCATCTCCAGCTGGAGTCAGGGCTTACTTGGGTTCACATGTGCATGGTTGAAAATGGCACAAAGGACTCCAGTGCATGCATCCATAGTTGTCTCATCAATTTCATCCCCTCGCTCCTGGCATTTTGGCATGCAGCTGGTGGGCCTTTTGTACAAGGCAGACGGTGAAGCACCAGCACTGCAACTCATAAGACTTCTTGTTGCATACGTTTAGATGACCTCAGTACACAGCCTGGTGCAGAGACTCTTTCTTGCCTTTGTGACATAATAATGGTCCACCTCTAGGTTTCAGGGTTTGATATTGAAATTTCAGAAAATGAGATGTTGCAGACCTGTCAACTTTACATGGAAATTTAAGCCCAGATCTTTCCACTCCTAGGGGAACATGTGAGCTATAATACCATGCTGGCTCTTTTAAGCAAACAGGTAAAAACAGCTTATAAGTGACTTGCTGAAGGACGAATGGAAAGTTATAGGTTTGAGCCCTAGGATCTGGTCATGCTCGTTAAAGCTGATTAATTAATTTATTTAAAATATTTATGCTTCGCCTTTCTTCCCAAGAGCACCCAAGACAGCCTACAATATAAAAACAAATACTGAAAGCTAAAGTTATTGCTATATATATAAAAGCCATTTAAAAACTAGCCCATAAAAGCCATTTAAAACTCTTCTAAAACTGTACTAAAGCCAAACAAAAAATGCAGCCTTATTTTTTGCAAATCCCTTCAAGGTTTGGATTAGACAAAAGGCAGCAAAAAGATTTATGAATGGGGCGAGAGGCTTCCAGGAAGGAATGGAGAAACTTTTCTTGTAGTGTTGATTTGGAAACAATCTCAATTCTATTAAGTGGCATTTACTTCTAAGGTACATAGTCCATGCCTTGAACAGTGGAGAGGTATGGGATCCTTCAAGAAATAATTCTGTGTACCTTGAAACAAATTCGGCGGGCAGAAGAGTATAATATCTGACACGCTAAATTGTGTCCCTGTAGGAATTTGAACTCAGCCGATAAAGGTTGCTTGAGGGCCAGCCTTACCATTGAGCAGAGTGAGGCAGCCACTTCAGACAGCATATTACAAAAACAGCACCTTGTTACCTGTTGTTGTTGTTGCTGATATTGTTGTTGTGTGCCGTCAAGTTACCTCTGACTTATGGCTGTGCTGTCAAGTTACCTCAGACTTACGGCGTCCCCATGAACCCCCAAAATGCCTGTCCTCAACTACCCTCCTCAGGTCTTGAAAACTCAAGCCTGTGGCTTCCCTTAGGGAGCCAGGCCATCTCATTTTTGGTTTTTCCTCTTTTCCTGCTGCCTTCCACTTTTCCTGACATTATTGTCTTTTCCAGAGAATCCTGCCTTCTTATGATATGGCCACAGTAGGACAGCCTCCGTTTCAACATTTATGCTTCCAGAGATGGTTCAGGCTTGATTTGCTCTAGGAACCACTCGTTCATCTTTCTAGCAATCCAGGGTATCCAGAAAGCTCTCCTCCAGCCCCATATTTCATATGAACTGAAGCCTCTGTGCTGCAAGGTCAGAAGACCTGCAGTCGTAAGACTGAATCCACGCAACGGAGGGAGCCCCTGTCACTTGTCCCAGCTCCTGCCAACCTAGCGGTTTGAAAGCATGCAAAATGCAAAAATGCGAGTAGATAAATAGGTACCACCTGGGTGGGAAGGTAAACAGCTAGCCACGTGACCACGGAGGATTGTCTGCAGACAAACGCTAGCTCTATGGGTTGGAAACGGAGAGGAGCACCACCGCCTAGAGTCGGACACGACTGGACAAATTGTCAAGGGGAACCTTTACCTTTTTGCTGTTTATTAAAACAGCCACATGTTTTGGGGGCCAACCCATATATTAGAAGTAACTCGTTACAAGTAACAATGTTCTGTACCACATTCCGTCACAGGTTTTGTTTTGTTTTACAAAATACCACAACTGCCAGTGATTGCACTGCTGTTGTTATTGTCGTTTTGCAAAATGAACATAACGAAGAGGAAGAGCATGGTTTCGATCTGAATCTTTAACATTGACTTGTTTCTTCCAAAGTTTTTGGTTTGGGGGATTGGGAGCAGGGGATTGATGCATTTTTTTTAAAGTGCAATTTTAAAAACCCTAAAAGGAAAGGAAATTCTACCACACCTCAAATCTGAATGGGAAGTAGGGTTCTCTACTCTCACACATCTCTGTCTCCTTCCAGCACCAAGGCGTCTACCTCTCTCAGCCTAATGGTAGCATTGTCCCTGCAGAAGGCTGCAGCAAGCCTATGAGAATATCTTTCACTGATTTTCATCAATGGAGCATCTCACCCAGGGTCCTCTGCTCTGAATGGTAGAAGCACTTAATGGCCTCAAGCAGAGACATTTTTCTTGCATCTGTTTTTTTTTTTTTTTTTTAACCAAATCATTCTTCCGGGGAGCAGCTCTACTCTTAGGCAGACTGTTAAGGAAATCCATACTCCCCGGACCTCAGAAAACACCTACAGCCCCTTTGACAACCCCAATTAAAAGGATCAGCTGGCTGATAATGAAAGAGATGCTGCAAAAAATATGAGGAGGATGGACAAGACAGGCTGCAGACTGTGCAGGAAATCCATACTCCCTGGACCTCAGAAAACACCTACAAACCCTTTGACAACCCCAATTAAAAGGATCCGCTGGCTGATAATGAAAGAGATGCTGCAGAAAATATGAGGAGGATGGACAAGACAGGCTGACCTTTAACCTGCTGAAAAAGAAGTTATTGCTTTCTTTGTTAGAGGCAGGATACCTGTCAGTCTCCATGCAGGAAATCCATACTCCCTGGACCTCAGAAAACACCTACAAACCCTTTGACAACCCCAATTAAAAGGATCCGCTGGCTGATAATGAAAGAGATGCTGCAGAAAATATGAGGAGGATGGACAAGACAGGCTGACCTTTAACCTGCTGAAAAAGAAGTTATTGCTTTCTTTGTTAGAGGCAGGATACCTGTCAGTCTCCATGTGACAAGGCAGTGCAATACCTCTCTCCACTGGCCAGGTGAGTTGGAGATGATGAAAATTCACATTCCCCATTGGTACTGTATTTTTCTTCTTCTCCAGTTGTGGTTGTCTTGAGTAACCAATGGTTAAACACCTGTCTCCACAATATTATGAGTGTGGCCATCTATTTCTCTGATGGTACTCCTGTGCCCCGTGATAGCTTTAGAGGCGAAACCCTGCCTACCGCTTTATCCCAATCTTACCAAAGTAAAACTCTGCTTCTTTCTGCCCTGTATAAGCCACAAATTTGTTCCGACTTCTCAGTACAGACCGAGCCTTGTAAGGGAGTTAACACCCGACCTCCAGATTTCAACTATGTTAAAAGCCGATGGTTTTTGCCTCTTAAAACAGGATGGTAAGAGGAAGGGACATCGAGGAAGGACAAAAGATGTTTCTTGTTGTTGGAAACAAGCGGACCTGGAAGCACCAGAAGTAGCACCCTCCTGGCCTCCAAACACAGTGACAGAAAATCAAACAGGTCTAGTAGGTTTTTAAAGAAAACTCCACAGAAGCCTGATACACCTGTTTGATCAGAGGCAAAGGCAGGAGGAGTATAAATAACGACTGTTGCAAAGCATCTATGATTCTCTCCCAAAGGAACAGTGGTCTGAGCCTTTGGCTGTTATGGGGAGGTCTGAATTAATTGGTTCCATCCCTTCCTCTGATCCCGCCCCCCCTTTCCACTTTTCTCATGGATTTCAAACGGGCGTCCAGTCTCCACCACCAAGTTCTTGCAAGTTAATTAAAAGGCGAAGAACGGCGGAAATGGGCGAGTATATATATATATATATTTTGGGTGGGTGGGTGGCAGGCTTTATACACGTGACAGATCAAAGAGAGGAAAAAAACATTCCGTGCACCCCTGCAGCTTTTCCCCACCCTCAACTCTTCTTTCATGTCAATTATTCTTATTTAAAAAACAAATAAATAAGACAAATGGGGGTGGAGATCAAAGGGGGGGGTGTCTGTAGGCGGTCTCTCTCCCCCTCCCCTCCTCAAGCCAGCAAATTACAAACATCTCCCCGGGCTGACTTAAAAGGTGGTAGCCTGCTTTCCCCTCTCTTCCACCCACCCACCTCTCTTTTTTTTTTACACTCACACATGGCCACAATTTGCAAATCAAAGCGTT